CGATGATTTTTGCCATTTTGATCCTAAACATTTGTATTCACTTTTAAGGCTTAAAATACGGGTATCAAAAGCCTTTTTTAGTCTGAAATAGTAATGTATATATGTTACGGTTTTGATCTCTTAGAACTGGTTCACACGAGTGACGCAAATGCAAGCGCAAAGATAAGAAAACACGAGTGAACTGTCTCAACGCAAACGCAAGTGCCGATGCAACAAATTAAATGGGAATCAATCAATCAATAGACTTTATTTTATTCTAAGAGGGGAGCACGTGACAGTAGTGAAACGGATGACCTTGTGGCCCTCTGTAAAATAAAACTTAAGATATAAAAATGAGCTATGACCTAAACTAGAAATAATATAAAAAGCAAAAATGAAATAGAAATAACTATTTAATCCTCTGGATCAGTAGAAGGTTCTGGGAAACTCCACACCCGCCACGTCAAAAACAAACATTTTGGCCTAAGTAAGAATTAGCGTTAACGTTAGTGTTAGGGGAGGGGTAGGTGGAAGGCTTAGCGATTAGCAGCCGCTCTTCGGGAAATTGAGCCCGTATTCACCCTCCCCCCTTGAAGAGTCTGTCGGGAAAGATTAAGGACCGGACTCAGCGCGAGATCGGCGGAAATCGAGCCTTTTGGGTTGGCAGTTTCCAAGGAATCTTGTGCTCGTCGGAACATTATCTTATATCTGCGTTTGCGTTAACGTCGGTCATGTGAAGCATCGCCTGAGGCTATTCACACTTAGACGAAGAGACCTCGTTGTTGTTATGTTTGCTGTCGATGTTTTTAAACCTGCGAGCGATTAACAGATTAAGGAGAAGTTATTGTTTGCTGTATTACGTATTGTTTACGTGTGAGGTTTTAAACTCGGAAATGGCCTATTCTATTAGGCTTATGAGAAGTACAGCGTCTAAACAGGGCCTGCGAAAAGTAACCACTACACTGTAGTTAGACTAGTCTGCTACACAGCCGTTTTCAGCGGCGTCACGCAACGCTCCTCCCAACAAACAGTTTGTTAGGAGGAGCGTTGCGTGACAACAGTAAAAGGGCTGTGTAGCAGACCATTGGTAGACTGGAAATAACAGTGTGGGGAAATTGAGTCTCAAAATCAGGCATGCTTCATCCTTATCTTGATGTACCGATTCTGTTGGAAAAGGAAAAAAGGCAAAACTAATTTATGAGTTATCGGAAAATTCCAGCCAGTAGATAGTAACCTGTCCACAGAGTAGAGTGATTTTACTTGACCCGTGAAACAGATACTAACAACTGCTGCAAAACAGCTACTAGTAAACAACAGAAGACAATGGAATTAGTGCATAATAGTGCATAATATTCTATCACCTATTTCACGGGTTAAGTAAAATCACTGTAATGTTTTTCATGTAGTTATAGCTAAGATGGCACTGGCTCCCTTGTTAGCTAAGTGCTCAGGTATGACTATGGTTTTTGTATATGACCGGCTACCCTCTGCTTTCTTTGTCCTTCTTTCTTTCTGTGCCACTCGGCGAAGTTAACGCCGGGGAAAGCTTTTTAATTTGCAGTAAGAATCAGGGACATCACGAAAGGAAGATAGGAAAAAAACGAATATAAAGGAAATCATGGGAAAAGAAAGGTGTAAACATTATGAAATTACAGTATCATGTAATTTTATGCTAACGCGCGCAACTGAACTTCCGTTTGTTGTCTTTTACAAGTCTGTGATGGTTGTTTCATAACCACGATACGATTGTTCAATTCTTTATTAAATTGTGCTTGTAGAGGAAGGTGCCATAGCCTGGAGTAGAGTGGGCTGTTTGCAGTTTTAATAAAGGTATTCCGTGTATTATTTCATAGTATTTCATGGAATTATTATTATAAAGAGTACTTTAAATAGTGCTTTTCAGGGAGAAAAAAACACAACGGGGAAGAATGTTTCAAATGGAAAATAAAAAGTTGTAAAGAACCCCATATGACTGGAACCAAGCCTTTTGGCTCTTCATAAGTGCAACTCGTTTTTGAAATCATAGAAAAGGGGAAACAACTTCAGCTGCAGTTGAATGAGAGGATCACCCTCTTAGAGCACCTTTAATAGTAAGTAAGTAATTTATTTAACCAGGGTAGCCCATTCAGCAACGAGGCTGGTATCCATAGGAACCCTGAGAAGTAAAGATGTATTATATTTAAAAGTTAAAAGAGAATTATACTGAATTATACTGACAAAAATGTCATTATAAAAAGTGTGTGCCAAGAGATAAGAAATAAGAGTTATAAGGTAACCGCGGCAGGATCAGCTCAGTCGGTAGAGTGCTTGACTGCAGAGCGGAAGGTCGCGGGTCCGATTCCCGGGGCCGGATTAATACTCAGGGTCTTAACATAACTGAGAAATGAAGGTACTCCCTCTGCGCTACAAGCGGCTAGACTTTCTCGTGGCTCGGATGACCGCGTAAAATGGTGGTCCCGTCTCTAGTAAAAATAGTGTCCCCAATTGGTACTTTCGTGCTAAATACCCTGACACCATAGGCCCCTGTTGACACTCAAATAAAGTGCTTTTTCAAATCTTTAAGCATCATTTTTTTTAAAAACTATTTAAATTTTCTATTTATACGGGAAAAGCTTTTCTCAGGACAAGGTGATAGAGTCATTCTCCCAGCCCATTCAACTCGAGCGAGCTTTCACAAGAAAAAAATTGACCTCTTTGCCCGAGCCAACAGCGGTTGTGCGGGATCTGATTGTCTCTGCGGACTCTCCTTGACAGATTTGACCAGGCTTGGTGAGCCAAAGTGTTTATCTGGAGAAATTGTGTCCCAAACCTTCAATGTGTACGACTATCACTGGGGTCGAAAGCGTTCGTTTCCAACAAAACAATGTCCCCGCCCCGCGCACGCCCCCAAAAGTGTAAAAAAATCACCATTCTTCGCATGTTCACAGGGTTTCCCTGGGAGTACTAGCAAAAGAAGGGATTCCTGGAGGAAAACAACAAATTTTCACGGGAAAAGAAATTGAAGACTAGAGACTCCCGGCCGAGTGATGGATTTTTCCTTTTTGCCACAGTGTCCCAAGTTCTCTCTCCTGTAGTGGGTACCCCTCAAGGGTACCCCGGCCCACGTTAGCCTGCGAGGAGAACCGGATGTTTTCGCAACGTCAACCAGGTTAGACCCTGGGGACGAGGTAATTTACTGGTCAGCGGTCTATCTTCTGAGCGGTCGCTAAGCATAGCAAGTAACAGACAAGATGGCGGATCGATGGCGGACAAAAGTTAGTTTCGTTTGCGTTCCTTTCCTCGACCGGTGATTCACCGACTACACTGATCTCTTCAGGTGCACAATCATTCTGTTCAGCAGATGTCAGAGGTAAATGATAAAGACGAAACAACCTTTCTACAATTTCCCAAATAATACAGGCACATGTTAACTTAAGCATAGGCGGCCCAGACCTAGTGTGAGTCAATATAAACATGGACACAATGGGATGAGTCGTTCAAATTCCCATGAACTAAAATAGTCCAAAAGCCAAAATATAACAAAACAGAGCTAAGATGCCTTTAACTGAATGTCTCCTTGTCTTTGCTGGCCGGTTAAAGTGGCATTTTGTTGAGTTTTGCAATGGTAGGTACTATCCCGGGGTATCCAATCGACGGAAATCGATCATCGGAAAACTAATCGATCAATAGATATCAATCGATAAAATTAGTTAATTGATATCGATTGGTATCGGTAAATCGATGATCAATCAATAACCACACGAAAACCGTTATAGATTGCTATCAATATTGGCACAGCAACCTCGAACAGACATCACGCACACTACCAGTGATGGGCTCCTCACACTACCTGTCCAATCATCCCTCATTTCTAGGAAGCCCTGGGGACCAAATTGGTAATGCCCGTCATTGCCTTTCCGGGGTATTCAATCGATGAAAATCGATGAGCGGAAAACCAATCAATCAATTTAAATCAATCGATAAGCACACGAATCTTCACCATCTAAGGTCATCGATTGTTAATATCAATCAATTAATTGGTATCGATTGTCATCGATTATCAATTTCATCAATTGGATACGCCACTGAATAAAGAATAATAATTATTAAATTGTCATTGATTATCGATTTCATCAATTGGATACCCCACAAAAGAAGAATAGTTAAAGGCTGGCTACAAAAAAAAGGACCATCTCCACACGCCTCCATGCAAAGCACTATAAATTTGAGAATAATCGACGAATCCACTCCAAATTGCTATTGGCTAATCTGCAGGTAAGGTGTGCTCCGGCTTCTTGCTCACTGGCTCCACAATACCCACTACACGATAATCGCTCGCTCATCAACAAACACTTGACCTTTACTCTCCGCCCTGACTTAAAACGGGCAGGATTGCTACGCGACATGAATATTCAAGCTTAGTGACTGCGTCTGTGCAACAATGCAGCACTTGCTATGGGAGGGATGGTACTATTGCTTCTAGGTAAATCAAGCGGGAAAATAATATTGAAGCCCTTCTAATTTTCAAAAAGACTCAATTTGCCCTAGGATGACCGAACAGATATGAATTTTACAGCGGAGCTATAAAAGTCGCAGTGGCAGTGGCGGTGGCAGTGGAAAAAGTGAACAAGAAAGTGTACCACATTTCCTTCATGTGAAAACCAGGAAGTTTCTGGACGTTTCACGTTGTAGTCATGCAAAACAACGGCAAGGAAATGTACAAAACAGTGCGCTGCAATTAGACCTACTGTTTTGTTGTTTTTCACAGTTCTCGTCAAGGGCACCCAACAACTGTTTATGTAAAATATCTGTTCGGAGAAGCAAATTTGCGTAGAATTTTCTTTTACTTGGCTAAGAATTTCTAGACGACCATTCCATTCATGTACAATTTTCGAAGCTCATTTAATAAATTCCCTACGATTTTCTGAAGTGTAATTTTTCACATTTCACTCCCCGGGTTTGGCTATTTTTCGTAGATAAAAAGGAAACCTAAAATTTTCAGATTCAAAAGTGTGATGGAAGAAGGAATCAGAAAAATTATCTCCTTCGTAATAGGTTAAATTACATCTAAAACTTTCAGGAAAATAATACTGAATTCCTCGTAATTTCGAAAGACTTGACTTCCCCCAGAGTGGCCGAACTGATACAAATTTTATAGCACCGCTTTGAATGCATAGCTGAGGCCAGATTTTGCCTTTTTCCTAGGCAGAAAATTCTCGTCCTCCCTCGCCTCTTTGGACAACATATTGTGGAGTAAGACATAGTTCTGGAAAGAACTGTTTATTTAATTAATCCAAGCCAATCAGTCCAGCAGAGTCAAGAACCTATGCAAGCGGCTGGTCGAACAATGTGACAGTGAACGTTAGAAGAATTCGAACTTGAACACCAGGGCCGCCCTGTTGAAAACTGTTTACGGCCAGTTGCGTGATTGCCTTTTGTTTTCTGGTCAAAACTAATGCAGCAGTCTCTCCCTCAGTGTTGATTGACCTAGAAGCAGTAGTACCATCCCTCCCATAGCAAGTGCTGCATTGAATATTCACATCACGTAGTAATCCTACCCGTTTGCAGTCATGGTGGAGCGTAAAGGTCAAGTGTTTGTTGATGAGCGAGTGATTATCATGCAGTTGCGATGGGTTTTGTGGAGCCAGCGAGCAAGATTCGTCTATTATTCTCAAATTTATAGCGCTTCGCGTGGAGGTGCATGGAGATGGTTTTTTTTTTTTGTAGCCAGCCTTTAATTATTCTTTGGTGAATAGTACCTACGATTGCAGAACTCGACAAGTGCCACTTTAACCAGCCAGAAAAGACAAGGAGACGTTCAGTTAAAGGTAGGTATCTTAGCTTTGTTTTGTTATATTTTGACTTTTGGACTATTTTAGTTCATGGGAGTTTCGACAACTCACCTCATTTTGTCCATGTTATTGACACACACTACATCTGGGCCACCTGTGACTTAAGCAGCTACTGCTTGTGCAAACTCGTCATGATCAATATAGTTTAACGTTACTAAAGATTGGTATAAAAAGCTTTTGAGTGGTTCCCCCTTCAAATCTGACAGCTCCATTAAATGGTTAATTTTTTAACCTGTTGGGTATAATCTTCATTTGAAGAACCCTTAAACTTAAGCTGATTCGTGATACATGATTCTCCTTGGTAATCAAAGCTTAGTTAGAGTATCAACTTTTAAGAACAAACTGAAAAACACCTTCTCACATAACTTGCTCTTTTCCCTTTATCCCCCTTCCTTTTTTTTTTCTGTGCCTTTGTCTCTTGTCTTTTTTTTTCTTTTAATTTTTTCTTTAGAACCTTACAGGTGTATGTATATAGTACCTTTTTATGTATGTATCTTAAGTACCTTTTGTTACTCTTTCGTAAGCGTTCAATTATTTATTTGTGCTATTTGAAATGTACACTGTAGTAGAGAAACCGTACTTTACGTACATAAACCTCATGGTTTCTTTTGGCTTTCTTGCCATTTTTTTATATTTCCTTGTACTTAATTATTTGCAACACCACAAGGTGGTGAGATAGAAAAATTAATAAGAATTATAATTAAAAGATATCCTTGATGAAAAAATTTCAATTTCAGGGCTCTAAAGTGATATTTTAAAAGACAACAATGTACAATGTCTGACAGTGGGAAATTATCAAGAGTAAGCAGTCCAATGCCACCAAAGGTTATGAAATGCAATTATTGTGAAAAGTGCTTGAGCCAGTCATGGAGTTGCAAGCACCATGAACTCACCCACACAGGAGAAAAACCTTATCAGTCATCAACTTGCAAGTGGCATGAAATTACCCACACAGGAGTGAAACTTTATCAGTGCAAGTATTGTGATAAGTGTTATAGACATTCAACCAATTGTAAGGTTCATGAACGTACCCACACAGGGGTGACACCTTATCAGTGCAAGTATTGTGATAAGTGCTTTAGGCGGTCGTCAACTTGCAAGCAGCATGAATTTATCCACACAGGAGTGAAGCCTCATCGCTGCAAATACTGTGAAAAAAGCTTCCGTGCTTCGTCAACTTGCAAGGAACATGAACGTACCCACACTGGAGTGAAACCTTATCAGTGCAAATATTGTGAAAAGTGCTTCAGTTATTTATCACATTGCAAGGAGCATGAACGTACCCACACAGGAGAGAAACCTTATCTCTGCAAGTATTGTGACAAGTGCTTCACACAGTCGTCCAATTGCAAGGTGCATGAACGTACCCACACAGGAGTGAAACCTTATCACTGCAAGTCTTGTGATAAGTGTTTCACACAGTCATCACAATGCAAGCAACATGAACTTACACATCTGACATGCAGGGATGAAACTGTATCGGTGCAAGCATTGTGATAACTGCTTTACACAATCATCACATTGCAAGTGGCATCACTTTACCCGCCCACTTATAAAATGTAGAACCTTAGCATTGCAAGTATTGTGAAAAACGTTTTAGCCAGTCATTCACTGTCAGGCAACATATATGTACCTACCCAGGAGGAGACCTTGTCATGGTTTTGGAAGCCATCTTGATGAGTACATTGTA